ATCATTGTATACAATGTATAACTGTTCAGTAGTGTTGCATCATTGTATACAATGTATTACAGTACAGTAGTGTTGTATCATTGTTTACAATTTATAACTGTTTAGTAGTGTTGCATCATTGTATACAATGTATTACTGTACAGTAGTTTTGTATCGTTGTATACAATGTATTACTGTTCAGTAGTGTTGTATCATTGTTTACAATTTATAACTGTTTAGTAGTGTTGCATCATTGTATACAATATATTACAGTACAGTAGTGTTGTATCATTGTTTACAATTTATAACTGTTTAGTAGTGTTGCATCATTGTATACAATGTATTACTCTACAGTAGTGTTGTATCATTGTATATAATGTATTACTGTACAGTAGTGTTGTATCATTGCATACAATGTATTACTGTACAGTAGTTTTGTATCATTGTATACAATGTATTGCTGTTCAGTAGTGTTGTATCATTGTATATAATGTATTACTGTACAGTAGTGTTGCATCGTTGTATACAATGTATTACTGTACAATCGTGTTGTATCATTGTATACAATGTATTAGTGTACAGTAGTTTTGTATCGTTGTATACGATGTATAGCTGTTCAGTAGGGTTGTATCATTGTATACAATGAATTACTGTACAGTAGTTTTGTATCATTGTATACAATGTATTGCTGTTCAGTAGTGTTGTATCATTGTTTACAATTTATAACTGTTTAGTAGTGTTGCATCATTGTATACAGTGTATTACAGTACAGTAGTGTTGTATGATTGTATACAATGTATAACTGTTCATTAGTGTTGCATCATTGTATACAATGCATTACTGTTCAGTAGTGTTGTATCATTGTATATAATGTATTACTGTACAGTAGTGTTGCATCGTTGTATACAATGTATTACTGTTCAGTAGGGTTGTATCATTGTATACAAAGTATTACAGTACAGTAGTGTTGTATGATTGTATACAATGTATAACTGTTCATTAGTGTTGCATCATTGTATACAATGTATTACCGTACAGTAGTGTTGTATCATTGTTTACAATGTATTACTGTACAGTAGTGTTTTATCATTGTATACAATGTATTACCGTACAGTAGTGTTGTATCATTGTATATAATGTATTACTGTACAGTAGTGTTATATCATTGTATACAATGTATTACTGTTTAGTAGTGTTGTCTCATTGTATACAATTTATTACTGTACAGTAGTGTTGTATCATTGCATACAATGTATTACTGTACAGTAGTGTTATATCATTGTATACAATGTATTACTGTTTAGTAGTGTTGTCTCATTGTATACAATTTATTACTGTTCAGTAGTGTTGTATCATTGTTTACAATTTATAACTGTTTAGTAGTGTTGCATCATTGTATACAGTGTATTACAGTACAGTAGTGTTGTATCATTGTATGCAATGTATTACTGTTCAGTAGTGTTGTATCATTGTTTACAATTTATAACTGTTTAGTAGTGTTGCATCATTGTATACAATGCATTACTGTACAGTAGTGTTGTATAATTGTATACAATGTATTACTGTTCAGTAGGGTTGTATCATTGTATACAATGAATTACTGTACAGTAGTTTTGTATCGTTGTATAAAATGTATAGCTGTTCAGTAGGGTTGTATCATTGTATACAATGAATTACTGTACAGTAGTTTTGTATCATTGTATACAATGTATTACCGTACAGTAGTGTTGTATCATTGTTTACAATGTATTACTGTACAGTAGTTTTGTATCATTGTATACAATGTATTACTGTTCAGTAGGGTTGTATCATTGTATACAAAGAATTACAGTACAGTAGTGTTGCATCATTTGATACAATGTATTACTGTACAGTAGTTTTGTATCGTTGTATACGATGTATAGCTGTTCAGTAGGGTTGTATCATTGTATACAAAGTATTACAGAACAGAAGTGTTGTATCATTGTATACAATGTATTAGTGTACAGTAGTTTTGTATCGTTGTATACGATGTATAGCTGTTCAGTAGGGTTGTGTTGTATCATTGTATACAATGCATTACTGTACAGTAGTGTTGTATAATTGTATACAATGTATTACTGTTCAGTAGGGTTGTATCATTGTATACAATGAATTACTGTACAGTAGTTTTGTATCATTGTATACAATGTATTACCGTACAGTAGTGTTGTATCATTGTTTACAATGTATTACTGTACAGTAGTTTTGTATCGTTGTATGTACAGTAGTGTTGTATCATTGTATGCAATGTATTACTGTTCAGTAGTGGTGCATCATTGTATACAATGTATTACTCTACAGTAGTGTTGTATCATTGTATATAATGTATTACTGTACAGTAGTGTTATATCATTGTATACAATGTATTACAGTACAGTCGTGTTGTATCATTGTATACAATGTATAACTGTTCAGTAGTGTTGAATCATAGTATAAAATGTATTACAGTACAGTAGTGTTGTATCATTGTATAGTAGTGTTGTATCATTGTATACAATGTATTACTGTACAGTAGTTTTGTATCGTTGTATACAATGTATAGCTGTTCAGTAGGGTTGTATCATTGTATACAAAGTATTACAGTACAGTAGTGTTGCATCATTGTATACAATGTATTACTGTACAGTAGTGTTGCATCATTGTATACAATGTATTACCATACAGTAGTGTTGGCTCATTGTATATATATAGTATTTAATCAGTTTTGTGGTTATCACTTCATTGTTACATAGCAATTACACAACCAGAATTTTGATTTCATCAGGCTCATGATCAACAACACTCACAATTTTAACACAACCTTAATTTATATTTTCATGTTACTAAATAATTTAAGACAGTTACCATATTTTACTTATGATAATAACAGGGGGTTTAATTCGAAGAAATGGGATAAAATGGAGGCAACATTAATTGTCAAATTTTAGACAGAAAGGACCCCAATAGCCATAATTGGCTTTACAAGGGTTGAGGGTGGGCTTCATAAGGACACAGGTTTATCAAAGGTAAATTATGGTAACGTTTCATCTGTAAGTTGCTAAAACTAACTCCTAACAACATATTTCTAATGCAATGCCAAATAACTTAAACGCACACTCTACTAAATAACTTTAACATTCATTGTATACAATTACAGGCTTAACTAAATCTCCAGGCTTAACTAAATCTACACTTAACCTGGTTCAACACAACTGGTGAATTGTTCCATCCACTATAAACACTCAGGTAAGTCTGTAGTTCTATAGTGTTATATCTGAAGCACAGGAAGTTGGACTAGATAACTGGTATGAGCACTCTTCAATTTTCATCATTTTTAGAATTACAGAAACTCATTTATGCAATGATAAGGGATTTTAAGAAGCATTGGGAGTTATTCTCACGTAAATATTACGTTTGTGAAACTTCAGTCCATATTTTTACCTGTAATGTTAATATTATACACATAACTCTTATAGACCAACGGTTAGACTATAATGAAGTATACTTCCGAGAGATCCAGTGAACACCATATTGTAATTCTTGTTCAATGCATTGATGATTTCAGCGACAAATTTTAATGAGACATCCATTCATCTATATATATATATAAATGGTCACATTCACTAATCACAACATGCACATCCTACAAATTGGCTATATAAGTACATGTACAATGTAGGTGAACATCAGACATGAGGTTAAAGTTTTACCACATTAACTGAGGTCATGAATATTCAACAGTGAAATCCTTTGAAAGGTAAACATTCACAAATACAAACTTATGTATAGATTAGAAAGAGAAAATATGATCATGCATTTTAAAAATTATTTAAAAATATTCAATATGCATTGTACATGGATCACTGCTGAATAGAAGGCAGTGAAAAGTAAAGGGTAGAGTACAGACTGACACAACCTAGGGCCATGATAAGTTACAGTGGTTATATTAGAGGACAGAGACTTCAAACAATAATAAAATATCTATATAGTCTTTACAAAAGTTTAACAGTAGTGTTAGCCATTTCTGTAAATATTTTTTTTTTTTAGACAACAGCACATCACACAGACTGTTTTCATTTGTTAATGTTCTATACTGTACATGATTGAAGAACTTTAGAAAAAAAATTGATAATGAAAAAACAAAAGTATCTAAAAAATGACATGAGGGTAGCTAAATGTATTCGTGTTGTAACATACTGCAATATGCTTGCTACAACGATCTTGTTCTATGAAGAGTTCTCGAAAGTTAGACAAGACTGCATTTGCAAACACATACAGATTTGTTAATTCATTTACTCTGAACTAGGTTTTTGAAAGAAAGTTTTCATTAATTTCTGATAATTCCTACAATGATGAGTTATCCCCCTTTGAAGTGACGGATTTGAAATGTAGGATTGTCCCCCTTTGATACCATTTGTTGTCTCCCCTTGATAGGTAGGGAATGTCAGAATGTTCATTTAATGCCCAATACCACAACATTAATATTCAAAAAATAATTTCTTGAAGGACTTAAAAAAGAAAGAAAAAAAATATAACCCTTGAGATAAAAGATTTAGAAAATATGAATTAATTTAAATGTATTCATACAAAGAAGTTTAAAATGCTGAAGAACATATATTTTACCACATAAATTCGCTGCAATAGCTATAGCTACTAGCCATTGACAGAAAAACAAAAAGAATGTATATACCACTGTTCAGATGAAATGAATAATCAAATAAATAACTTGGAAAATAGAAAACTGCATTAGCATCAAAACACAGACAGAAATATGCCAAATACAATTTTTACAGGGCAGTGCAAGTTCATATGAGGTGATGAAGTACATATACAAGAGGAAGCTACATAACGTCCCTGTTAAAGCTATGGTGAATCTTCATTCAAGGAAAGACAAAGAACGACAATAAATACTGATCAAATATGTCTTATATCACATCAAACATTGAACAGAGCGAATAAAGCTGGCAAGAACAGTGTCTGGAGGGTTCCAACAAACACACTATACACGTTAAACTGGCATTTTTGCAGTTCTTTTTTACAATGAACACAGTCCAGAAAGTCTATTTACAGAATGTAATATGTTGCTTTTGCCCGTATTTAGATCTCAATTAAACTTTCGCAAGCAGCTTTAATCAAAATTATTTTAAATTGCTACAATCTTTTCAATAATTCGCTACTTGAAACATACAATTTGCACATCACCTTTAAAGATTCCTAAATTGAGATTAAGAATTTAGAAAAAGACATTTTACCTAGAAGCACCTAAAATCACGAGCCAAGATCACCAATCGTTGACGTCGATGAGGTACCCTGGATTGTGTATTGATATGATAATTTATTTATTATCATTCATCCAATCAAATGTCTATCATTGATTTTTCTGTAGCCAATCAGCATTTGCAATCTGCTTCATCCTTCCGATCAATCAAATCTCTTGATGACAAGGTGGTTGAAGATACCTTTTTCCCATACATTAAAATTCCCTGTGTTTTCTATAACACACAATTATGATAGCATTTCGTTTAATTTGTTGACAGATGTAGACTTAGATGTAGGCTCCGTAAGTATATGGGTTAGATGAATATTGTCTTCCACACAGAAAACTTTAGTACGTATTTCCACATAATTCCACACAAGTTGTTCTCTGGTAATTTTTTCTCCTGATATAGAAGTAATAACACTGATGCTTGCTGAAATATCCGTGTTGTTACAAGGATACTGAACCGAAGACATCCAACAAGAGAATGACCGTCTTGCCTCACAGCACCAGGTATCTTCAGCCAATTTGGTAACTCTGTGTATTAAAGTGAGGGACAGCCATAGAGATGTCTTTTAATAACAATTGGATTGGTCAAACCACATGGTCAGTCCAGATTCATCTCCTCCTCCAGCATGGCGTCCAGCTCGTCGGTCAAGCCCTGTAACATGTTGTCTATGTCGTTCAGGACGTCGCCACCAGAAGGTCTGAAATAGACGAGAAAAACAGTCAGTGATTAGTCAACACAAGTACTGGTCAAGTTAAACTAGACTGGTCAGTTATTTCACAATCATACGGACACAGGTTATTTAATTTGGTCAGTGACACAAATGTTACCACATCAAGAAGAGTATAGGCAAAATTTGTTTATTCTGAATCATCAAACCATTCAAGAAAATGGAAACTTTTCATGCTTTTAATGTAACTTCAATACATAGTTTACAGTGTGTCAATATTTCTGTATGTACATATTTTTTGACAATCTTTTAAAAATGTCAATTTTGTGACATTTCCACTTTTGTATTATGGGCTAATCTGATGAGTAAAAACCATAATAAGGAGTTTTCACCTTTGTTTAAAATTGTTAGGTGTTTTTTTTAGAATAGCGTTGGTGATCATGATCAGCCATCTGTCCATTTCACCTAGTTTTATGTTTATTTCACAAACACCTGGTCAATGTCAAAAGTCTAGATTCACCTAGTTTTATGTTTATTTCACAAACACCTGGTCAATGTCAAAAGTCTAGATTCACCTAGTTTTATGTTTATTTCACAAACACCTGGTCAATGTCAAAAGTCTAGATTCTATCTCAACTAGACAAACAACTAGTAAGAAATGAATCATAGTTAGCTTTCAGATAGTCTCCTGGTGTATCTAAGCAATATTCACCTCAGCATTCTTCTCTTCAGCCATGGTGAATATTGCTCAGATAAAGCCTGTATATCAAGGATAAACCTCAAGTGAAGTCCATAACTGTGAAATGTCACACCAACATGGGATCAAAAACTGCCTCACCAAGTCAGCTGTCATTCCTTCGAACCAGGAATACCAATGAGAGCAGGTTACTATACAAATAGGCATAACTCTGCTTTCTCATGACAGATTGACCTTGACCAACACATTACTACTCACTTTGTTGTGTTTGGTGCTGAAAGAGTTCCCATGGATACCCCTGGTTTCTTCGGCACTGCTGGCTTCTTCATTTCTACAAGACAAAGATGTGCAAAAAATTCAAAATGAGTTTTGAAATAATATTAATATTGAATTTATCACTGAAGTAAACTTTTTGCAAAATACAGTTCCTTTTACGTTAATAATATCTTCCTTTTGATATTTGTTGTTTATATTGTTCTTGTAACTAATGTAAGTTTGAAATACATATTTAACATCTAAAAACAATCTTTGGAAACAGAACAATACTGTTCATCAAGGCACTGGATTTTATGAGTAACCTTGTGTCAAAAACAGCCCTTACAAGAACCTCAAATAACACGGATAGACAAAACAGATTCTTACTAACACCATTGGACAAATACAAGTACATTGTACTTTGTGTCTGTTGGATGAAACCAGGTGTTAAGTGTATTACTTTACTTACCCCTAGTGGATGTGACCGGGTGTTGTGTGTATTACTTATCCCTTGTGGATGTGACCAGGTGCTGTGTGTATTACTTACCCCTTGTGGATGTGACTAGGTGCTATTTGTATTACTTATCCCTTGTGGATGTGACCAGGTGCTGTGTGTATTACTTACCCCTGGTGGATGTGACTAGGTGCTGTGTGTATTACTTACCCCTGGTGGATGTGACCAGGTACTGTGTGTATTACTTACCCCTGGTGGATGTGACTAGGTGCTGTTTGTATTACTTACCCCTGGTGGATGTGACTAGGTGCTGTGTGTATTACTTACCCCTGGTGGATGTGACCAGGTAATGTGTGTATGACTTACCCCTGGTGGATGTGACCAGGTGCTGTGTGTATTACTTACCCCTGGTGGATGAGACTAGGTGCTGCTTGTATTACTTACCCCTGGTGGATGTGACCAGGTGATGTGTGTATGACTTACCCCTGGTGGATGTGACTAGGTGCTGTGTGTATGACTTACCCCTGGTGGATGTGACCAGGTGCTGTGTGTATTACTTACCCTTGTGGGATGTGACAGGATGGTGAGTAGCTGACACAGTGTGGGTGCCACTAGAGAGATGTTCAAACACGTATGAATTTTCCTGACCAAGCCCCTCAGAAATGAGCACAACAGAGGGTTTGGTCGTAGGTGTTCGCTGCTTTATTGTCCCAACATTTTCATTGGCAAATGGCAGCGTGTTGGATTCGACACTAGAAGTGGAGGTATTCAGGTCCAAGCTAGGATGAGAGTCTTTTATCCTTTCCCTAGCACTACCGATCTCACTGGGAACACTATGGATAAAGTGGGGAGGGTGACCACTATTCACGGATGAAACTTTTGGTGGAAGTGATGGTTTTGGATGAGACACTGTGGGGTGGACACGAGACACAGCCGGAGCCCCGCCCTGAACTATACCATGTGACTTTGGTGTCGGGGGCGGGGTCCCCTGGGCAGTCACAGACACTGTTGGTTGTGTTCTCAGTTTTACACCAAATGTACTTTCCACACTTGCCTCGTCTGCATTTGAATCCTCACTGACAGAAACAGTCTTGGCAGGGCTGAGAGTACTACTCACAACCGTACCCGGAGACATGCCATGTTCCACTTTAACTTTGCCCTGATGACGATACTCACTCCCCATACTGCTTTTCTCCTCCTTACTGGGAATCCCATAGTTATGCAGTTTGGGGGTGATAATATCCATAGCAACGGGAGGTGGGGGTGGGGGAAACTCCTCCCCGTCAGAACTACCCACCTCATCAGAATTGCACGATTCCCCACGCTTTCTTCCAAATCTCTCTGAAAGACTCTGAACACAATTTGCAAAAGCCTTTTCCTTTTTATGTGAACCTTGTTCTGGCTGGTTTCCGGTTGACTGGCTTTGAACGGCAGACTTAGGTATACTTCCAGCGAAGTGTGGGGACCTTGGCTCTTTGACCCCAAGGTCTGATCGTTGTGTGATGGAATTAGTCCGTTTTGGGGGTGGAGGAGGGGGAACCTTCCGGCTTTTACCACTAGGTGAGCCCTGTTGAGGAGAGTTCTGGGGCTGTGATGTCACTTCCTGTTGTGTTGAGACATAGATAGGATCAGTCACAGCATTGTTTTTGTTGACTTTATGATTCTGTGCTTTTGGTGAACTTGGTATCTCCTGCAGCTCAATCTTTTTGTGACAGGGTGACATGGAAGAGTGTATCTGAGGTTGATCGTAAATATGGTCCGACTTACGATGGCCTCCATTATGTGACGGACTTTGACACACATCCTGATTTTTTTCAATCTCATGCTTTTCAATGTCTATAATGTCCGGCGAACACTCACGACTAGTACGTTTAGTTTTCGCGATAATTTTAGCGACAGGTTTAGGTTTAATGGCTGCCTTAGGAACAACAGTTGCCACGGGTAATGATGCCTTGGGTGACCCCTGTATTATGTACATCATGTCATCACCGGTAGGTGTGGTCTCACGGTCCATACTGTCGGACAGTCGCTGGCCTGTAGCTGGAACCTGAAATGACTGGTAAGTGATTGTTTGACCACTCATGTCTCGGGACTCCTTCTGGTATGGCGCTGGGCCTGACTGAGATGATGACCGCTTGACCTGTATGGCCACAACGTCGGGCTGGTATGACGATGATGAACTACCACTGGGACTAGGCGGAAGGAAACAGGAGTCAGCGCTGCTCTCACTGCTGTGTCGGTTCCTAAAAGGTGACGATGTTGCTGACGAGAAGTCAACATTAGCATTATTGGAGTTCTCACTTGATGACGAGCGGCGTGGTTTATAGGGCATGCCTCCGGCCATTTCCTGACCATTGTATGATGATGACATGACCTCGCCACCTGACCATCTTGAGTTGTTGTTGGCCGGTGGCTCCAGTGCTTCACCAGATGAACGCTTATTGTTGTCCATGGTAGAGAGGCGTTTGGAACCCGACATGATCCTCTTTAGTCGCTCTATCGCCAGCATGATCTTTTTCTGGTGACCTGAAAATACACAACAGCACAGCTGCATTTAATCACAGGGAACTAGTGTATAATACCAACACCTCGGTCATACCCAAGTCACAAACATTGTATGACATCACATCAACAATTCATATTCGACAGGGCCAACAGGCTATGAGTAATAGAATCTGTCCCTATCTAAAGGGTAAGACAGAAAAGTACCAACTCAAAGGGTAAGATTCTTAATTGTCTAGCCTGAGGCTTTGCCCAAGGCCAGACATTTAAGAATCTTATCCCGAGGGTTGAGATTTTTCTTAATCCTAATCTGGGGAAAGATGATTTTTCTTCATGAAATGCAAACATTGATTGCATTACTTCCAAAAAATCTGAGCTATCTTCTGTGTTCTGCTATAACTGGCATGACGTCATAGAATTATTATGACAGGGGAATCCCCCCTTATTTACTTATATGGTAAGCAGAAATATCTTTCCCTGACTGAAAGTGTGGACATTTCTGTTTAATGGGGGAGAAAAAAAGAATCATTCTCTCCCCTTGGGTTGAGAACGTGTATCACATCTCACAGAGAAAGATTGTTAGGTTACCAAACAGCAAGCCGTATTGGCTGTTGTAGAGGCACCAACAATTAGATAGACACTGGAAAGTAAAGAAAAGGAATGATGTTAAACAATATCCCAGACTATTTCCTCTGATTACGAGATGTTGTTATTCTTGTCCATAAAATCGCCAACAGGTTATTCCTTAAATACTGTATCCAGGGAAATGTTTGCCGCAGTTTAAATTTGTCCTTTTCGCCCTCCCTCAATGCTGGCAAATTTACCTTGACAGCGAATTTTAGTACACAACATGCAATATATAGTAATTATAGTGGAGGGTGAAACTAACATTGGGCAACATGGATTTTATCCTGAAAAGGGTGAATATTTAACTGGACGAAAGTTTCTCGGTATACAGTACATCAAGTACTCGGAATAGAACTTTGACCATAGCGATCTGTTTAAAAATATACTATTTCATAATTTTTATAAACAAAGCAGATATGAAGTGACCTCACATAAAAAGCTACATAATTACATATTAAATTACACGTACTCCACCAAAAATTGAACCTGTAAACTTGGACCCTCATCCAAATCCACCAGAAATCTGGCAACAAATTGAATTACAAACTATTTCCCAAGGTGCTGCTCCGGGAGATATATGAAGTTATCGAAGAGCATTGCTACATTGATCCATCACATACTTGTATGTGTGGGAAGAATATATACAGAGATCTCCAAAGTCTACATCAAATTTTATTCAAAATTCATGTGAACCTACCCTACCAGAAATAAAAGGCAGACAGTATTGCTGTGGTTGCCATGGCTACTGAAAGGTGATAGACTATATCCGACTTAAAGTCAGCAAAACTACAGCAGAATAGACTATGGGGAGTGACAACTACTTCAATGGGTATTTGAACATGTTTCAGCTATTTTATGGCGTAAACCAGACACATATTCTGTCTAATATTGAACTGTCCAATATCTACACTCGAACATTACCCACCACTTTTTCCCAAAAAATAAATAGTTCCCCCCTAAATAGAATATGAACTTCTCAATAGTGTTCCTCATTTTATTTGCGACATCCTGTACTGCCAAAATATTTCAAATATCATTCTCCTTTCTTTTTTCTTAAATCTGTTATGTTTCCTTCTATGTAATGCCAAACCTCCTTTTAATACCACAAGTTTGCTTGACAAATGCTAGCATTAAAACAAGCATTTTGTGTATTGCCTTTTAAAAATGGAAAATTCCTCCCCAATGGAATTTCTTTATTTGAAAAAAAAATCCATTCCTCTTTTTAAACTATTTTGTACGTGAATTGTTTAAAAACAATTTCCCAGTGAAGTTAAAATGTTTTTAAAAGCTTTTTTCTTCAAATGTAACAAAAGCATTATGTTTGAAACACATTTAAATAAATTATTGTGAATCAATTTTGTTTTCATCCGACTGATTTATGAGATGATTTTGAAACGATCTAGGCTTAGCCCTTACGTAACAAGAACATTTTTTGCAGCCATTTCGCGATTACACCTGACACAAAATCACTCTACCAATTTCAATACATTGTTCAATTTGAAAGCGCAAAATGGAGCCAACCCAAAATGTCTTCAGTTCCTATTGATTCATGTGTGGCCATTTTTTCTGTATCCTACTGGGAGAGAAAGTGGAATTGATGATCACTATGGAAACGGGAACAGTCTGTCAGGCACCATAATGGAGGAAGCCTTTTGGCCACAGAGTTGTCAAATCTAACGCGGTCTCTTCTCTGTTCAGACCTCTCTTCATGGTTTCAAAACTTTTTTTTTTTTAATTTGCTCTCAATAGTTTGTGCTTGATTCAGAAATGTTTTTACTGAACACAAAAAACATGCCAATCTGTTTCGCTGTGTGTGTGGAAAGGATACACACCATTCCTTGAAAGTTAAGATGCTTGAATTCTACATAGAAAATATTCAAATTGTGATAAATTTCCTCATTCCAAAAGAGAAGAGAAGACATTTTTTTTAAGTGTTTCAGTCTAAATTCTATCTCTCTCAAAAAAACCCAACAACCACAAAACAATTAAGGCATTTTTCATTTCAACACATTGTATGATTTTGAAAACTAAAAAATTCTCCTTAAATTTTGCTGCCATTTCATAACTCTTTATTATGACATCATCAGATTGATATGTTGGCCCATTTCAAGATTTATCATTGCGATTATGAGAATTTAGAATGATTTGCACATCAATCACAGCCTTGGACGAGTAATTCTGTGCTTCAAATAGAGTCTTGAGATGAGTTAATATAACAGTATTCAGCACCTATAACAAACATTCTCATGATGTCAATATTTTGTCATAATTTCAACAGTTAAACAACATGGCAGCCAAAGATACTTGCCCATGGTGCTTTGGATTTATTGAAAAATCATCCCTGAAACCATGTCTTGCCACCATAAATCAAGATATTTCGGATGTGTTTTTCTATTTTAGATTTATGTAGTATTTGGTTTAAAAATGCCAAATTTAACAAACAAAATTATCCCATCACCCATCATTTAACAACACAAAGTAATTTCAAAACTGAAGAAAGACCATTAATTACTAGGAAATTAACCAAGTTTTCTATCCTGAAGGTATCCCATTATTCTAGAAGGATTGCTGTATTTGGCTACATACATTTGCTAATATTAAATATATTCCAATATTTTTCATGTCAAGTGTTCTGAGGGTTGCTTTTAAAAGCTAATGGGAATTGAGAGACAATAATGAAAAGCAGATAAAAAAAGGAACTATAGGCCATGAAAAGTGCTTCGATGGAGGTCACCCATGTAACTAAATTAACGGCACTGTAAACCTGAGGGCCTGTTTTTTGCCTTTAAGGGTGTAGCCATACCAAGTTTCTGGATGCCGATCTCCTCCAGGTCTTCCCAGGTGATGTCGGTGACATAGTCCACGTTAGCGTAGCCCTGGTTTACTAGTGTGGCGTGGTACTGCTCCAGATTCAATAGGTGCAACCATTCCATAACTGACATCTGTGAAGGAATAACATTATAGTACATAAACATTGTACTGGGATGTTTGTTAATGGTCTAAATTAAGTGATCAATACAGTGTAAACCTTTTTTATTCAATATTTCAGATTGACAAAAAAAGAAGATGAATTTTTGCCTTTATTACTTGTAATATAAGCTTCTATACCAATCTGTTCACAGGATTAAATTTATGGCAAGAAATGTAGCATGTATGTCACATGTAGTACAGAATTATTGCTCAGTACTTCACTTCTATACCATCTCTATGGCTAAATACCTGATAATAGATTTTCAGCAAAGTAAAGTGCAATTTATAATTGCATATCTATTATAGAATTATAGCCTAGAACATCACTTATACAATTACATCGTAGTACTTCACATCAATTCTAGAATTAAAACCTAGCGCATCACATTTATTTTTGTTTACCGGTATTTAAACACTATGCCCTTGCTAATTCAATCATTGCAAAAACGTGGTTGTCGGGGCACATGCAACGAAAGGGCAGAGTTTAGAAAGAACATAATGGGCAGATTTATAACTGAAATTACAGCAGTGGATCACTGTTTTTGGTGGCAAATTAGAAAATGAAGTGAAAATCAATAATTTGGTGCATAGAGGCATATCTGTCGCACAAAGTATAGATCGCGATTTGCACCTGTACATTATCAGATACAGCTCAAAATCAATCACAAATTCACCATTATCTGCTGAATCTAGGTCAGAACAAAATGACATCGAAATCCTATTATTGCATTTTTGCCAGTTTACTGGGCTTGCATGACATGCTTTTCAAAGCCAAATGAAGATATTTATGCCGTTATTCTAGCAGTTAGTTTCTTCAAGCTTTGAATCAATAGTGATTAATTTAGGTAAAACAGAGAAAGCCACCGAGTGGCAGCGTTGTAATGGTGCATCATGCCACCGAGTGGCACCGTTGTAATGGTGCACCATCACACTCACTGGTTTATGGTCCGGGATTCCATCGTGGATGTTGAGGCGAGCTATCTCAGCCTTGAGCCGTTTTCTGTGGCCTGGTTTCGTTATTCCTATAGCCGTCAGATCCTACGGAGTAAAATTTAAGGTGATAATAAAACATATAACTGTAACAGTATCAGTGGTGATACGAAGGTTATGACCTTGTTTTTAAAAGTCACTTATAAAAAGCATTACCTTTATAGTTTCTATCTAAACTCAAGCATTGAAAATAATTTAATTTGTTCTTGTATTTGGGACCAAATATCTACTAATGAAATTCTGCTCTATTCTTTTATTCTAGCATAAATCCCATGAAACTCCAAGGTGAATATGTCACTCATGACCTTGATGTTTGAACGTGTATCTAAACATCAATGTCAATTTTACCTTGGACATTTCTTTTGTTCAAAACAAAATATGTCTTACACCAATGCAAGTTTTGTTCAGCATTTTCACTTACAAAGCGTCATACCTATTCCACTGGGTGCATGCTTTGTACAGGTGTTAAGGTAAGTCTGCATTGTACAGGTGTTAAGGTAAGTCTGCATTGTACAGGTGTTAAGGTAAGTCTGCATTGTACAGGTGTTAAGGTAAGTCTGCATTGCCTACTATCACTGTATATAACAATCAAACCATTTACCTTTCTGTTGTTGCAAGAAATAAAGTATTTTCTATTTTTTTTAAACCGATGGCAATTATTTTGAGACAATTAAACTACCAGGTAAGCGAGTTTGCACCACTCGTAAATGTTCAGCATGTCTCCAATGTTGAATCGTAAATAAAGATATTTGAAAAAATATACTTAAAAACAAGGAGGGCGTGATATTTGATAAAACAGCAAAAATTCAAAATTGTCAGAAATAATCAGACAACTTATGGCAATGGTGGTGTCGGTATCATCTGTTCTGATAGCAAGTCACATGACATGATTGAATTTCCCTGATAGCAAGTCACATGACGGCCTACTTCCTGTTGTCAGCTGACAGTAACTAGATATAAGATACACCCTGTTTCTCATTAAATGATAATAAATGTTTATAAATATTTATACAAAATGTAATTTAATTACCGTAGAAATATGAGTAGAATTTGGCACCAGATAAGGAGATATATATAAATATATAGCTTTAACCTCAACAAATCTGAACTTGACATTCATTCTGCAGACAAACTAATATGCCAATTACATCTCAATGAGTGTACATGGCGAAACCAGAAACTGATATATCTATTTTTCTAATCGCTACATTTCAAAACAGATAATACAGATATTCTATAATTTAACAAGGGTTTCTGCACCTTTTAAAAGAAGAAAATATATTGCATCTGAGAAATCAGGAAAAGAAAATTCATATAAGACATGATTAAATCAAAATAAATTTGTGAAATAATTTAGGTATCTATCTTTCAAAAAGAGGACAGACAATACATTGCATATGAGAATCTTAAGAAGAGATAATTTAAATCAATCAAATGACCTTGATACATTTGTGAAAGAATTTTCACTACTGAATTCTGCTTTAAGAATTGAAACCTTCCATATCATTGTTTTTCGAAAAATATCAGAATTTAAATAAAGCCATTATTTGATATGAATGACTGCATTGTCCAACAGGATAAGCCTCAATAGCCACAAGTTTCTGATCCATCATAATTACATTGTCAACAGTCCACATAGCAATACTTTACTGTCAACAGTCCACATAGCAATACTTTACTGTCAACAGTCCACAAAGCAATATTTTACTGTCAACAGTCCACATAGCAATACTTTACTGTCAACAGTCCACATAGCAATATTTTACTGTCAACAGTCCACTTATCAATATTTTACCAAGTTTTATCATTGAAAATTTTACTGAAAATGATACATTTCTTCTGAACTAAAAAATATTTATTTTGCAGTATTTTTTTATTCAAAATTCTTGTACAGTACCACTCTTTTTCCTTAAACATACACGAGACGAAGAAAGACGAAAAGCGATTTTTGATCCAAACAGTTGCAATTAGCAGCTTTGTGCAGGGACCTTCACTCTCTCTTTGTAAAGAAACAGGTGATTGATGGAATTACTTCCAAGGACTCGAACATAAGCGTCTTAATCTCATACTCTTAAAATAGCCAGTCCTCGTTCATTCATGCAGTCAGCACTAGTTAACCTTTTTTTCCTTAATCCATAAAGAGATTTTAAGCCCAAGTTCTCTTAGTATCCCAGTTTTTGTCTGTTTGTGAATTAGTGTCCTTGCAGAGCAAAGGTCATAAATAGTTACGGTCTGAGGAAACAGCTCAAAAGAAAGACTATAGGGAAGAAAGAAAAGGAAACAAAATATCCAAAGTGTTGCCTCTAATGACATGCAGTGCGACAAAATATTCCTATTCTTTCCCTGAACTGCACAGGACTAGTATCTCCCTGATCCAGCTGTTCAATAATCTAGCTACATTTAAATTTACTGTAAAGGAAAATACAGTCAAATCTGCTAGAGAAACCACCTCTACAAAAGGAACCTTTGAAACAACTGAACCTGTATCAAGAGACCAGCTGTAATAAACAACCTTTTTCTGTACTTCCCGAGATGGTCTATGAGTACAGGCTTGATTGTCTATGGATTATTAAGGTTCCACATTTCACATAGGGTCGTCAAAATTCCATTGAACAAAAACACAGTGAGCTGGGCTCCACTAGATATACCCCCATCTCAGCCAAAATGAACAAAGTGAGCTGGGCTCCACTAGATATACCCCCATCTCAGCCAAAATGGTCACTGAGCTGGGCTCCACTAGATATTCCCCATCTCAGCCAAAATAGTCAGTGAGCTGGGCTCCACTAGATATACCCCCATCTCAGCCAAAATGGTCACTGAGCTGGGCTCCACTAGATATACCCCATCTCAGCCAAAATGGTCAGTGAGCTGGGCTCCACTAGATATACCCCCATATCAGTGAGCTAGGCTCTACTAGATATACACCCATCTCAGCCAAAATGGTCAGTGAGCTTGGCTCCACTAGATATACCCCGATCTCAGCCAAAATGGTCAGTGAGCTGGGCTCCACTAGATATACCCCCATCTCAGCCAAAATGGTCAGTGAGACATTTGACCCCTTTACCCGTCTAGATGACCACCAAAATCTAATCTGACATAGAACTGGACAATACCATACTATGATGCAAGCATAAACTGAATTTCCAGAGAGGCTCATAGTAGGGAAGCAATGAATGATAAGACAGAATGACAATGCTATTTTGCAAAATAAAATATGTTTAAATAAAAAAAAGCTATTAGTAAATATCCCCTTCCTTACAACACTTTGGAGTGTAGCTATTGAAACTTGAGTTATGTAATCATCTCACCTCTGGAGTCATACGAGATATCGTTGGCATGTCATAGCCCGCCTGCAAAAAGTTGCCATGGTAATCTTCAAAGCGCAGATCTCGAAGCCAGCAGCGCAAGACTTCATGATCCTGTGTATGACAAAAGGACATGAATTTAGTACTACGTATATTAACATAAAACCTATCACACCACACAGGTTTTATTTGTAGGATATAGATCCCTACAGTTTGACAACTGATTGAATCATGAAATACAGTCATTCTGTTAAACTTTGTGAATATATATAGGTATATGTTTCGCACTTGCGCTTCAAACAAATCTACTGTGAAATGTTCAACTTCCTAGATGAGTGAACTCTAGAAGACATTTGTCCATTGTTTTAATGTTTATTACTCAATTTAATTTACATCAATTTTGCCTATTACGATCACTGTATAGTTTTGGAGGATAGGACAGGTGAGGAAGGGGAGGGAGAAGAATGAGCTGCCAGGAAAAAAAGAGTTATTCCTGATGTGTTTACTGCTCAACCACAACCACCGACTTCCACCCTCCATTCCCACAGCATGTTACAAACAACAGAGAACCTATCGATTAACAGGGTGGCCATCTGGTGGCCCACAGGTAATTGATGGAGGGGCTATCCTTACAAACTCCCTACAATCAAGTACCATGCAAATGAGATGCCGATTTTCTAGTGGAATAAATGGAGAAACCATACATATTGCCCCACTAGGTTAAGACAAACCTAGACTGTTCACCTACCATAGTTATCCTATCATAGCCCTTACTGATGATTATAACGGTCTCACTAGACCGGAGTATTCACCTACCGTAGTTATCATATTATAGCCCTTACTGATGATTATAACGGTCCCACTAGACCGGAGTATTCACCTACCGTAGTTATCCTATTATAGCCCTTACTGATGATTTTAACTATCTCACTAGACCGGAGTATTCACCTACCGTAGTTATCCTATTATAGTCCTTACTGATGATTTTAACTGTCTCACTAGACCGGAGTATTCACCTACCGTAGTTATCCTATTATAGCCCTTACTGATGATTTTAACTATCTCACTAGACCGGAGTATTCACCTACCGGAGTTATCCTATTATAGTCCTTACTGATGATTATAACGGTCCCACTAGACCGGAGTATTCACCTACCGTAGTTATCCTATTATAGCCCTTACTGATGATTTTAACTATCTCACTAGACCGGAGTATTCACCTACCGTAGTTATCCTATCATAGCCCTTACTTGATGATTATAACTGTCTCACTAGACCGGAGTATTCACCTACCGTAGTTATCCAATGATAGCCCTTACTGATGATTTTAACTATCTCACTAGACCGGAGTATTCACCTACCGTAGTTATCCTATTATAGTCCTTACTGATGATTTTAACTGTCTCACTAGACCGGAGTATTCCCCTACCGTAGTTATCCTATTATAGTCCTTACTGATGATTTTAACTGTCTCACTAGACCGGAGTATTCCCCTACCGTAGTTATCCTATTATAGTCCTTTCTGATGATTTTAACTATCTCACTAGACCGAAGTATTCACCCACCATAGTTGTCCTTTAATAGCCCATACTGATGATTTTAACTATCTCACTAGACCGGAGTATTCACCTACCGTAGTTATCCATACTGATGATTTTAACTATCTCACTAGACTGGAGTATTCACCTACCGTAGTTATCCTATTATAGCCCTTATTTGATGATTTTAACTATCTCACTAGACCGGAGTATTCACCTACCGTAGTTATCCTATTATAGCCCTTATTTGATGATTTTAACTATCTCACTAGACTGGAGTATTCCCCTACCGTAGTTATCCTTTGATAGCCCATACTGATGATTTTAACTATCTCACTAGACCGAAGTATTCACCTACCGTAGTTATCCTTTGATAGCCCATACTGATGATTTTAACTATCTCACTAGACCGAAGTATTCACCTACCATAGTTGTCCTTTAATAGCCCATACTGATGATTTTAACTCTTACATACCCATAATATGTACATACTTTTCTCCATTAGTTCACATAGAATTTTTGTTGTTTCTTTTTCTTTTTTAATAATCTACTTGAACTCTTTCCCAATTTGCTATGATTGATCAAAGTCTCAGAAAACACATTCACATGAATTCTTTCCTTTTCTTGTACATTTACTTTTAAAATAATTGTATATGAGTAATGGGATGGATACCATTATTAACATAATACTAAAAGCTATGGGCACAGGTTAGTGACAAGTGGGGCTCCTTCATCTCGACACATTTTCCTCAAACAATGGTATGTATTTTCCCAGAACCTACGAGATATGAAGTGCTGTTTATCCCCTTCCAAAGATGTATTCCCAATCCCATCAATAAAGTGGTATAGGATTCTGATAGATGGCAGTGGTCACTGTATCAGTAAAGTTATAAGCCCCTGGCAGCTTTGTCCCTGTATGGTGCACCATGCTGGTGGCATAGTTGTCTAAGAAAACCAACTAGACAAATTCTGCATCTGAAACTTTACGATAAGCATTCAAGCTGTATTTTCAAAATCCCTGGAGGTGCCCATTGTCAAATATGGTAGTCAAGATCCGTCCTCCCAGTTTTATGCATAAACATGTATAATTTTGTTTTTGAAATGTTGCTTCTGTTTAAATTACTTTTGTGCATGGTTCATGACTTTACAAATTGATAATATTAAAGCAAGATGAAACAGCTTTATTCAATAGGTAGCGAGTTAAAATCTGTCATCCCCGAGGAATTATCCCCGTAACTACGTAATTATACGGGTAATTATAGGTGTAATACCAGTATGTGGGTTACCGTCTGTGTTACATTAATACTGGGGATGTTTAGGTCAATATTTCATGATAAGGTGTTGTGTGAGTGATTCACAATGCTAGTGCACAACCTTGTATATCTCTACCTGTTCGTATTGACACCATCATGGGAAACTTCTCAAATCTATATCGTTTTAACAATGACATTATAGGGCAAAGGATATATCATGGATATATATGGGAAAATTATTTTTGACCCCAGTAATTCATGGTAACCCTCAGTTATTTAGTTACACAATCCCCTATTGGTAAGATATATCTACATTTTGTACAGGATAAACCCACACCCTCCCTACACTTCGGAGTGCCCTCCCTTATCTGAAACTCCTCCCTCCACTGTGAAGCTCATTCTTCCACTCTGAAGGCCCTTCCTCCTGAGAGGGTTTCCCTTCAAAATTCAATTAAATTCAATGTTTTAAGACCCCTCCCTCCTTGATACAACCCACCACTTCTATCCCCCGTCTTACTGGACAAGGCCACTTCCCCAAACTTACTGGACTAGGCCCCTCCCCCATACTTACTGGACTAGGCCCCCTCCCCCATACTAACTGAATTAGGCCCCTCCCCCATACTAACTGAATTAGGCCCCTCCTCCATACTAACTGAACTAGGCCCCTCCCCCATAATAACTGGACTAGACCCCTCCCCTATACTTACTGGACAAGGCCCCCTCCCCCACACCTATTGCACTAGGCCCCTTCCCCCATACTTACTGGACTAAGCCCCCTCCACCATACTAACTGGACTAGGCCCCTTCACCCATCCTTACTGGACTAGGCCCCTCCCCTATACTTACTGGACTAGGCCCCCTCCCCCATACTTATTGGACTAGGCCCCTCCTCATACTTACTGGACTAGGCCCCCTCCCCCATACTTATTGGACTAGGCCCCTCCCCATACTTACTGGCAGGCCTGCGTGTACGAGCTCCGCCACGTTGATCTGGCTGCTGTAGCCACCCTCCTCCAGGCGATCCAGACTGCCGACGCTGGAACTTGACGTACTGTGGTAGCTCTGACGTGATGATACGCCCGACTCGTAACTCTGGCCGGACAGACGGTGCTGGTTGTTTATCTGTACATTCGCGTAATTATGTGTTACCTGAAAAAAAAAGAGAAAAAAATGCATTAACATAAATTTAAATCAATATTTCTATCTTTGTGTATCAAAAAAAGGAAAACAATTATAATTGATTTTGTTATTAAATTTCATAAATATGTTGAATACCACTTAACTGTACTGGCAGATAGCTGTTCCATTGATTGGCAAAAACACAGAACACTTCTATGTTAGATTCAAATTTTTACACTAACTATTTAAAGTCAAATTAGATCAATCCTGACATAAGAATTCACATTCCATGATTTGAATGCTAAAAAGTATCCGATGAAATACAAACATTTTACAAAATATAGTGCAGTTCTGATTCAGGTATCTCCTGTATGTCCCACTTTTTGTACAGAATGGAGTCCCCTTCAATACAGCAGTGATTCCAAATATCATATTCTGGAAAGCTACTTTTTTATGATATACACATTTCTTGTCAGGAAGTTATCAGATGTTTATCATTTGACATTATAGAATCCTGTTGTTTACGATTGTTTTTATTTTAAATACTACCGACTATTTATCAGGGAAGGCATTATTTTTTCTGCACTTTTTATACCTCTGGAACAGCATATAGCACCTAATCCAGTAGTTTGGCTAATGTCTATAGCTAATCAACTTATCTTAATGGATGGGTTGACAACTTTCTACAAATAGTAACAAGTGACCTTAACCTTGACCTTGAAGACCTGAAACACAAATTCATTCAAGGTCCTCTTGTACTTGACCTTTGCAGACTTTTTTTCTCACTTCCCTTTAGAAAATTATGATATTGTGCTAGAGTGAAGACAGTTAATAAATTGTGACATGACAATATGATGGATTATACTACATGCCCCCTGTGATGTGACGATATGATGGATTATACTACATACCCCCTGTGATGTGACAATATGATGGATTATACTACATACCCCCTGTGACGTGAGGATATGATGGATTATACTACAAACCCCCTGTGACGTGACAATATGATGGATTATACTACATACCCCCTCTGACGTGAGGATATGATGGATTATACTACATGCCCCCTGTGATGTGACGATATGATGGATTATACTACATGACCCCTTGTGACGTGACAATATGAGGGATTATACTACATACCCCCTGTGATGTGACAATATGATGGATTATACTGCATACCCCCGAGACCCCCCAAAAATGGCAGGGTTATAATCACACTATAAAACTACTGTTTTACATGATAATTACAGAGTCAACTGCACAATAACAACCATTTCTATGTTGTAAAATCTCATTTTAAAATTCCAATATCAGAATTTAAATTCAAACATTACAGCAACTTTTTCTTTATTGATTAAAAAATCTTGCGAAATTTCTCTATAAACCCATATCAACCCAAATAGTTATTCAGAAGAAATTAAGCTGACTTTCAGAACCAGATCAATATGCAATTAAGTTATTGCATTCCTCAGCTTGTGAAGAATGTTGCCCAATATAATCCAATGGCATGTCCAACAAGACTGGGGCACACACAGTTGAGATGCTAGTATAAAGAAGTTCATGCTAGCAGCAATTTGTCTCCCGATTTAACAACATTCTATGGGTCTGGTTTCCAAAACAGATGGTTGCCATGAGTACATGCATACCAATATGCCTGTAACCTTTGGTAGTTAAGTTGCGCAGCACTCTGTAAGAGTTTCTAGTTCTCCAAAAGTCTGTTTAGCTTAGCAAATCTGTAACTGATGCTTTTCAAATAAGATATTTGAGAAACATTTTTTTATGTTTGTAGTTATCAGATGGACATTCTGAATCAATATAAGTGTAATTTAGATTATGAATTTTATAATTATTGAAAATATTCTAGATAAAAGATTTTCATGAAATTAGCATAAAGCTGATCATGCAATGATAATCTGTTATTAAGCTACAACTTCTGGTACACAGGACCCCAAGTCTTGACAGTATTGTTAGCATATAAAGTGGTGTAAGTTAATTTTGTTTCAAAAGAATCTCACAAATTTTACAAATACTTTAATATTTTTGATCTTATGGTGATAATTCTAATCATGACTTCTCAGGTTCTGACTGAATTTGACAATGAAATTATTCCATTTTCAAAATTCACACATGAAATATTCATGTCAACTTCTCGTTAAGTTAATTAGGTCTCAAATGAGTAGTCCAGATGATATTGTCTATTACTGACATTCTCACATTCTTAGCCTGTGTAGGGACTCCTCCTATGTTGAGATAGGACCCGGACACATTGACACAAGGAACCAAGTCTAGGATTGTGTGGTGTGTATATAACTCATCAACCAGTATCTGACAACTATAGCACTGGTGGAGATAGTGAATTTTAGTTCTAGATAGAACTAACTCGACTTAACACTGTCCCAATGGTCAAAGACTGTCAAGTCCTACTGTATGTACAATCAAATGTGGTTACTTATTTAGCACCAAATAATTCAAAAATATCACGCCAACCCCTACAATCCAATTTGCTAAATTTGACCTCTAATGATCCATCCCTCAACAACCCAGAGTGATTATTGTGACACCTAACAATCCAATGTTATTACGTTAACTGCCACTACTCCAGTGTGATCATTTTGATTTCATACAATCCATACAATGATGATTACTCCACCCCATCAATCCACCTTATCGTAATTCTAACCCTTAGAATCTAATGTAATATCTGTGATCTCCAGCAATCCATTAGGATTATTTAAACCCTTGTTAACAATCCAATATCACCCTAAAAAAATAGTCATATAAACACAAACTATGTACCAATGCTCCACTCGCCTCCTCGGTTATAGTGCACTGTGAACAGGCATATTTCTTGGCAAAGTCTGTAACGGAATGTAGTCTTTTGATCTTTTTCATAATGAAAATTGGGTTTGTGCTGATTACGGCTGAATCTTATGGCCAATAAGCCATGTTGGTAAGTGCTGTTACAATCCCGTAATAACATGTCTTAAAAGTTCGTTCTGGAGTTTTGCAGCACATAACATCAGCCTTTTGTAATTATCCATAACAGCACTGGCATGTATTTATATTAATGTCGTTACATTCCCAAGTACATCCATAACGTCATCAGGTTGTATCGCCAAAAAGTTCACAAGCATGCTATGTATTTCCAGATTTCAAAAAGTTTCAAATAGCCAAGTACATTCAGATTTAATGAAATAGCCAAGTACATCCAGATTTCATCAAACAGCCAAGTACATCCAGATTTCATTAAATAGCCAAGTACATCCAGATTTAATGAAATAGCCAAGTACATCCAGATTTCATCAAATAGCCAAGTACATCAAGATTTCATCAAATAGCCAAATACATCCAGATTTAATAAAATAGCCAAGAATATTCAGACTTCATCAAATAGCCAAGAATATCCAAAATGTTATCAAATTGCAATGAGTACCCAGAAATAATTGACTAGTGATGCGTATCCGATACGCCTCCAGAAAGCTGTATATCCAGTAACACCAGTCTGGCAAGTATTTCTACATGTCATAACATTGTGAAATATATCAGAAATATCACTTCACTGTCAAATATCCAAGATGTGCCCAGGTTGTACATCAGAATGAGAAGAACGTCTCATCTGTTACTGTAGTGTCACATACATCCAAGCTTTCAAAAGTATCCAGTGTGCCAAAGATGGCATACACCGAGTTGACACTAGTCAAAATATTTGGTTTTGCCACGTCTGACATCATGACTGAGCGCTGTTTCCAAATCATTGTGGCGATTTAAGATTCCCCTGGTTCTTCTATAAAGATACATTGTGGGAGTGGGTTCTGGCAGTCTAATAATATTTAACCCATAATTGTCGCAGAAAACCGGAATATATGTCCAATATCTCGCCCATCATATATGTCAGCACTGCCAGACACACGGTACCACGGTAATCCTTTAGTCCTGATGTCATTACAGTCTGTGAAGATCTTTCTGCCATACAAGCTGAATGCTGAATGTCCGGTCTGATGTCCAGTGGAGCATGTTGTCATCTTATCAGCATGATGTCCATTTGTATGTTACTGTTGTCCTTGTGTACGATGTCCAGCATTGTCCAGCCACACAGCTGTGTTATTGATTTCCTCTTTGGTAACTTCAAAGGTCACAGATCCAGTTTTAAGATAGCAAAACACATTGCTTCCCATACATATATTGACAAATAATGAAATTCAATCTGAAGCTATTTTCAATGTCTTCTCTGAGAAAATAATGATTAAAGCTGGAGGCCCAATCACAAATTCATGCAGCGCTACACTACCCGAAAGAACTGCGGCAGCTCTAGGCCACGATAACAAGAAATAAATTTACAGCAAAATGTTTGAAACCCAAACCTTGAGGCCGGCAATAATTGTCATTTACGCTGCCTGCTTTTGAGGGTTTATCAAAGAGTTAGAGGAAGCCCAACTCTATAGAAATCAATAGAGGTATAAACATTACATCAGGTAGGTGATAACTGCGAGACAGTACCGCCACATGTATATGTAAACGGTGCTAGATCTGCTGCTCTGTAGGCCACCCTACAGCGAGTTCAGGCAGCAGCGGAGTCGGACAGATTCAGCATGATAGTGAACACCTCTAACGACACCCCGGGGTTACATAATGGTAATACTATGACACAGGGACCCCAAACCTAGAGCTGGTTAAATTCAAATATCAAAGTTTCCTGTAGAACTACACACTATTTGTCTGTTACTGAACATCTTTAATAGAAATTGTACATAACTTAGTGCCGCGAATGTGTGTATGTCTATGGGTTATGTTGCACAAAATCCATACACTGCTTAAATTATTCTTTTATTTTAAAATTTCAGTGCACAGCTGATTTTATTTTTCTTCTGCCGCCAAGCTTAAGCCGCAGACCAGATGTACTTAAAGATACCAAGCTAAAATGTGTCCACCCTGTGTTTCAACACTACTTAATATTAAAACACTACACGATTTCCAGAAAAACAATTAATAAAGATAATAATCTGTTTGGGTATATCAAACGTTAG